GACCCCAAAAATGATATTTTGCTGTGTGATTGTGAGAGAAGGGCACCTCTAGTCTAGAGTCTAGACTAGAGGTGCCCAACCAACCGACCAAGGCTGGTACAGTCTGTACCAGCCTTGGTCATGGGCTACCGGTAAGTTTATGTGTGCTCGTTGCACCGGGAATACATGTACGGTACGCGATGTGCAAGTGTTTACTATTTACTGCCTTTCTTGTCAACTCTTCGCTGAACTTCCAACTCGTATTATTCCAGGATGATTGGGCGTCGAACATCTTACATGTGCACGTATTGGGATACTTGTACCGGGATGAATGCGGAATGACCACAATGCATTGAGCAAGCACACCATGCAGGCAATGTGGACAATGTGGGCTACTAGAACACAATTCATCGTAGGAAGCCGGGAGATAAGCCGCTGTTTAAACGGCATAACCACACTATGGGCACTTTTAGAGTACATATTCCACAGGAGTAGACAGTTCTAGTACAAGCCCCCGAGTGCTATGCACAATCGCTCCACGTACATGGCATTCAAGCATGACTTTATCCACAAGATAGATGAATCGGGTAGGACACACATAGCGCCTGATCCGAGTTCCTATCCCATTTCCAAAGCCATACTCTCCAGCTATTGTCGAGAGAGAGAGTGCATACTAGGAGGCGTCCCTTAGAGTCTACAGAATATATATCTACCAGATCTGCGCGAAGGATGGCAAGCCTTAGCAGAGCAAAATTCAAAGTGAATGGCAAACTGAACGAGCGTGGGCACTCCAACCGACGCCGTGAAACGGTGGAGCAGTTGCAAAGCGACGGTTCTAAAGTACTGTGTCCAGTATCACATATTTAGATTGAGTTAAGGCTATCTTATAAATAGTGGCTACATTTCCGCCCGAACTGCAGCCATCCATGCGATGAAGGGTCGAAAACGGTTTGCGTTGGGCGTTGCACTACAAACTTATCAGCAGATTTGCCATGCCGGTCGTCAAGCGGAAGCCACGGCGCGCCACTCTCTACCAAGCGTTGGTCGCAGGGGACACCATGGTCCCGCAGGTCCGTAAGTCCCCGCGCGCCAAACCCAAACGTCTCAAGTCGAAAAAGGTTGCATCGACCCGACATGTTCAACAGGTTGATTCTTCTAATTACGACCGCTTTTACAGACCTACTTGGCGTAGAGGCCGAAGAAGCAAGAGGCAAGACGTGCGATATCGTGGCAGCCGCAGGTCGATGACAATGGCAAAGGTGGTCGAGGCGTTAAGCGAAGCGGTGCCAACGAGGACATGACATGCTTTCAAGTCGCCGTGGCCATCGTTGCCGAGCTTCTTGGCGTCGTGCCAACTTGGAAGGGAGAGCCGACCAACGCATACATTCGCAGCAAGGGATTTGATCCCGCCGATGGCATGCCCACGAAGATCTCCAAGAGTTACGTCGACTTTTTGCGGAAAAAATTCGGGTTCAACATCGACATGCCCGAGTACGACTACAATCGCATGCGAGGGCCTCGGGGCGCTGGCCAGCCAATCAAGAACACGAAGCAACCTGTCGAAGACGTCAAGCGAGCGATTGAAGCTGACGGCGTCGATGAAGCTGACGGGGTGTACCTTGTGACAACGAGCGAATCGTGTATTTTACATACATTCGTCGTCGAATGGCAGGAAGGCTCGGGCACGTTCTGGGACGACGAAGGAATCGGTGAGCAGCTCGACGGGATGGAGATTCCACCTATCAAGTTCGTGCGCAGGCTACGTCTCAAAGCCATGGCACCGTAGTGACATGCTAAAATCCAAATTGAATCGTGTATTTTTAGTGTTACTCGGATGGAGGGCTGCAGACGAGATACGTAGGAGTAGCATCAGCTTGGTGTGCTGTGCGCTGCTGATACTCCAAAGCCACGACACGTTGATTAAGTCGCGCTAGGTTCTTCTTCGTGCGCGTCAGTACCGAGGCGACGCGGTCGAGCTTGCGCGCTTGGTACTTGCACAACGCTTGGAGGAAGCGTATATCGTTCGTAGAGTGCGGGAGGAGGACGAGGACGCGCGGCGCTCGATTTCGCTTCGACAGCAGACGCTGCACGGCTGTCGACGAGGTCGGCGTACTGGCTGACCCAGCGCACAATGTTGAATTTCTTGGCCGTGATAAATCTCGTGCGCACAACAAGCCACTTCATTAAGTCGCTCGTGTAGACGTCCAATTCTTCGGGAAGACAGCTCAAGCGCGCTGTGACACGGCGGTCTATATAACGGTCGTACATGTAGTCGGCTCGGTTGAGGCAGACATCTTCGTCGATAACGTCGTTGTTGTTGAAGTGAGTCTATTTAGATATAATTTACAGTGAACTGTTTTTGGGTGTGGACCAGAGATCTGCAAAATGACCCATTGGCCCATGACCCATGACTCGGCTCGGCCCAACCCGGGCTCGTGGGCCGAGCTGGGTGGGTCGAAAAACAATTGTGGTGGGCCGGGTTGGGTTGGGTCGGCCCGAAAAAAACATGGGTTGGGTCCGGGTGGCACATGGGCAGTGGCCCTGACCCATGCCGACCCAGCTTCGATCACGTAATCGTCAGCGAATGGCGACCATGACGACTCGTGGCTTCTGAATGCGTAATGCGGTCATGCCACCGAGAGCTCCGCCGACTCCCGCCTCGTGAATGCCGACAGCTAATATGTGTGAATAATGACCTCAGTTTTGTCATCTCTCGACAACAT